GACTCTGAGCCGTGCTGTGCATTCAAGTAACATGCCTAGCCCTTATGGGTATGAATGTAGCTGGGTATCTGAGCTGCAACATTGCCCTGTAGCAAGTAGAAGACATTTAATGCCTTGATAAGCAAAATCTTGTATCATGTGGAAAATTATAGAAATAATGGAGTGCTACTTCTCCACCAAAACTTTTTTTCCTTAAGTGGAACAGAAGAGGTTAAAGGTTAAAGTTGTAGCAGTAGAGGTGCAGTTAATGTTTTATCCGTCACAAGGTTATGAATGTATAATACCATTTTATAGCAGAGCAGGCAGTCTGCACCACAACATGTCTTCACTCCAGTGGGATAGAATATTGGTTGGAATTACCTGCTGTGTAGTGACTGCGACGCTTTGGGCACTGTGCTTTTGGCAGCTTGTCCTCAAGTTTAAAACAGGTAAGAAATATAACTCTACCCCATTTAAACTCTATTTGAACTCTTTGGGTTTTTTTTCCTTTTCTAAAGTATTTTACCATGATTGCTGATAAACATGGTTGCATCAATGCTGTACATTTCTTAGGGGGAAACATTTTTCTTTTTACTCTGATATCTAAAAAATACCCCAAAATTTGCAAAATGTGGAAAAAAATCTGCTGTAAAAGAGACTAGGACTGCAAGCAATCTCTGGAATATTTTCCTTGTAACATGTTTACACTGTACATGATTCCTCTCAGAGAGCTTTGAGAAATATCTTGAAATTTTCTCACTCTTCTAGTAGAAATTAGATTTATTTTTCAAAAGACAAAAGTTATCCTCTAGCTGGTCTAGTAAGCTAAGTTTTAAATGGAAAAGACTTAGTTTTACATATGTTTATATGTTTGCAGGCATATATATGCTGTATAGCATCTGTTAATATTTTCATTACAACTTGTGTTATAGAAAAAATTATTGAAAGAATATCAGGGATGTAGGTTTTCTTATTCTATACCTGAAAATCAGATCTATGCACCTTCATAAGACACTTCGTATGCAAACTTGGAGCAGAAAACTGGTCAGTGTTGCCTCTCAGCAAAATACTCACTATATTGACATGATATAAAAGTATGCATTGGATCTCTACTCAAAATTCATAGAAAGAATTAGTTACTCCTGGCTACTTGTCCAGCAGGCAATCAGATGTGATTTGAGACCAAGAATCCTAAGGAAAAGATTACATATGATGATACATTAGATTATATTTACTTAAAGAGATTTATCAGATATTTGTAGGGAGGGAACATACCCAAGCAGAAGAAATGGCACATATGTAAGCAGTAATTATTTAACATACATCAGTAATAATCCTCCTTTGCTAATATAAGTATATGCCCAGTACTTTTTTATTACTTGATGGAGCTAAACCCAGATGAGATGTTAATTCTCAGTGCAACTTGAGGATTCCTCTGCTTATGCCCAGGATTTACACAGCTGCAGACAAATGAACTGCTAGGAACTGGATTTAAACTATACTACTACTACTTAAGGGTGGAGAATACCTCCATGCCCATCTGATGTTTTGTGAATAGGGGTAGTGTTTGTTCTTTCTTCAAACTTTTACCACGATATTAGCATTAAGGGTTCCCACAAAGTTCTATTGAAAAAAGAAACCAAACAGTTCATGATGACATAGTATTACACTAGCACCTTTACATTTTAGAAATATATGAGGTCAAAATCAATGTGATTCTTGAGATTATTTTCTGTAAAACTTAAAAACCAAAGACCAATAAAAAGCAGATGCTTTCTAAATCTTAAAATAAAACCAGAAGAACCCCACAACTTTAAGCCAATGCCACAATTACTGGAGCCTGATGAATTTTACTGCTTATGGGGTAGGTATGGCTGCATTAATCATCTCAGGAACGCATATTTGTGAAAGACACAGACCTCCCTCTGCAAAAAATAAATAATAAAAAGGTTGCTTAACAATGGTACATAAGACTTTGAACAGCAGGCTAAGAAGGTAATCAGGAAGCACTAAACAGAGCCCCAGTTTTGACTAACATTAACAAATCCCTCAAGTGTCACACTGTTGTTGCAGAGGGACTCTTTTGGGGAAGGCAAAGATAAGCCCAATGCTGTTTGCTGGCACCTGCTCTTTGCTGCATGGGCTGCGTGCCCCCACCTCCAGAAGTGAATGCTGGACTTTTCACCCCACAGGTTCAAGCTTTTGTGTTCTACTGTTTTCAAAGCTGTGTTAGCCCTGTCTTCCTCTTCACCTTTTGCTTTTCCTAAACTCCTTTAGCAGTCCTGGTGTCACTGCTCTGCCACACAGTACCGGCTGCCGTGTGCATGTGCCCAGCAGCTGAGCCAGCACGGCTGGGAAGCGGGTCAAGGATTGCCACACCAGGCAGCCAACTCTCCAACACTGAGCCACCCAGACCTTCATTGCTGGATAAGTTTTCCTTTCCTTTCTGTAAGATTTCCAATGGAGAGATGATATATTTTGAAAAGCTGATGGCTAGCTAAGACATTATCTACTGACACATAGATGTTATTCCACTATCATCATAGACATCTGGCTGTAATGTAGCTGAGACAGCCTGAAACACAAATGCTAACTTAGCAACAACATGAGCACAAGCCAAGCAATGTGTGCCAAGAACAGAATTACCCCCACCACGTGGCACGTTCCCTAAAGTTTGCAATAATCTTCCAGTTACATGAATCGTAATAGTAAGAGCTTGGGCAATCTTTTTAGTTCAGTTGGAACATTAGAAGTATACAATAGCACATTTCCCTGACAGCACTGTTTACTTTTGAATTTTCTGGCTTTACTCTATTTGTCAGCATCTCAAAACACAGGCACTAAGATGTAAGATCAAGTGGCAGTCCTCAGCTCCAGTTTTTCTGCATTGTTTCAAGGCATAGACTGCACCCAGTGCACAGGCACACAGTTTCCACCCTGAGCCTAATGGGAAGGTGATTCCAACTCCACCCTTCATTTAGGGTCTGTGTGAGATTGACTGTAGAAAGCCGTTGTCCATGAAGATCCCCCAGGTCTTGGACCCACCTTTCAGAGCCTGAGGTCCATCAACACCTTCCCTGTTGCAATTTCTGCTGCAGAATAACCCTTAGCAATTCAGGATTTGCCAGTCTCTTTCTTAAGAAACTTTAACATTTTTGCCAACTACAGCAAATACCATTTTATGGTCAGAAATTTCTAAGAACTGCATTTTCTCTGCTATGGCTTATACCATGCTTTTTTCTTTCCTGAAACTGCAAAAGCCTATGTAATGATACCAAACAAAACCTGCTATTTCTGCAAAAGACGGAATAAAAATCAGCAGCCATCCTAGAGTGTGGATAGAGGTGATGGCTGAGATTTGGTATGGGTTTTTATCCAGTTCATCCTATAATGCCTTTCTTAGATCAGAGTATTTCTGGCTAATTGTTGGATGTGTGACTATCCACATTACCAATCCTCAGCACTGGGAATCTGTGGCCCTGTTTACCCTTCTTGCTCCTGTGAAATCCTGCAGGAGTAGCTTGGCCTTTTCATGGGTTTAACAGACTGAGCTTTTGGCAGTCTGGAAGTCCACACCATCACTCCTGCTAGTCCAGCAGCTGCACAGAACTGTTTCCACTGACATTGTTGTGGGAATGCAAATTAATGTTTAAAAGCTTTGACCTCATGCTCATGTCATTAGTTTTAGGAGCAAGGAGGGACCCATGACTGAGTACCTGGGTGAGACTGTGGGTCACATATTTTTCAGTTGAATAATTTTTAATTGAATCTTTAAATAATGTTTCTTTCTTTCCTTCATCAAATTAGATGGATACATATTTTTACAGATGTAGTAATGAATATCTATCTATCTGTGGACCTTTCCATCTTCATTCTTTATTTACACAGACACTACAGAATCTGTGGTACCTCCATGCTTCTGTGTCAACGGTGGTGTCTGCCGCGATGGAGCCTGCATGTGCCCAGAGGAGTGGGTGGGATCTCTTTGTGAGATAGGTCAGTACAAGCCTGTCAGCACAGAGAGCTGGCATAATTTCTGGGAACCACTCTGCTTTGGGAGGCCCCTGATCTTACCCCCTGCCCTCCAAGACCTGCTCAGCAGGGTCTGCAAGCAGTAACATGGCTCCTCTCGCTCAGTGAGGCCATATTCTTCATTCACTTGCTCTTTGGAATGAGTGATTTATCTGGGGAAGACATTACAGGTTTTAACTGTCTGTGGCCTTTTCCTAGCCAATTTGGCCTTCATTTGAATTCCTCTGTTTGAAGATCATAGTGACTTGAAATTCTGATTCAGACCTCAGTGGGCAATATTGCTGTGTCTGGATCTGCCAGTGCTTAAGGGACACCATCCAACTTAGCACCCTGAAGGACAATGCTTGTCCTCAGCTCCTGCTGCCACTGGCACTGGTTTTGGATGAGTAAAATTTTCGACCCCTGGCATAGCAGTGGCCTGATTAACTACCATATCAGTTCCCTCTACTGCAGCACGGAATCTCTGCACTGTTGTAACTGGAGTGGCTGCTCCCAGCAGATTCCAGGACAGGGCTGGCTCACTGAGCCACAGTAACTCCAGAGCTGGTAAGATCCCCAGCTCACACTTCCCAAGCCAACAAGCCACACTGTGGCCAGTATGACACACACATATGTCGTTATGTGTCAGCTGCACCTTTGTCAAATGAATTAATGTCTCATCAAAAGGATGTTGAAGGATCTGCAGCTTATCCAAGAAAATACTCTTGGTGAAGACTGCTAGGTAAATGGAAACTTCAGGTCTCCCATGTCATTTTCCTTATGATAGGATCAGTAGCACATCCAACACACAATGACAGATTGGGTGGGTTCATAATGGATTGGATCATTTAGGTAAAAATTTCAGAGAATTTGGATTCAATAAAATAACCATGGCTGGGATTTCAGCACTGGAAACATACTATTATGATGCCTCTGTAATTCCCTATGTTCACTCCTCTGGTATTCTGTATTTGATTTGCTGTAAATTGCCTTAAAGAATAGATTTCAATAATTGTAGTTATTAAAATACACAAAGTAAGAATGTTTGGACAGACATCATAACTTCAAATAATAACAAACATCTGTCTGTTCCACCTTATCGGCAATTTTAACCTGCTGACCAGTTTCAACTAAATTCACTAGATGGCTACAGGTCTCAAAGGTCTTGAGATCTTATGAGTTTTGCAGACATCACTAACTAGGTACACAAGATCAACCCTGTAAATTCCTCACTGAGAAAAAGGCAAGGAGACTTATACCAGCAGTGAGGATGTGAGGGCCACACAGCCAATCCAGCCACTAAGATGCAGAGCTCTAAACTACTCATGATATTTGTTTTGTCTCCACCAACTAACAAGTAAAGATGTATATTTCATGTATTGGAAATCTAAAGATGAATGTAGGACTCAGAGGTGGGGGAGGAGCTGAGACATGATGGGGCATAAAGAGTGTGGGAACATAGTGGAAAAGTTGTTGGGGAAGCTGGAAGTGCATCCAGGTGTTCGGGTTATAAAAGAAGTGATCTGGTTTATTGCCAGCAGAAGAGAGCAGGGCACATGGGGTAGACAACTGTTGTAAACCAATTACTTTTGTTCCAGTGGTGATGGAAAATTTCCACTTGGGTCATATTTCATTCCTTTTGTCTATTATGTCATGGTTACATCCCTTCATAGATCATGACAAAGAGCCTGGTTTTCTCCCTACTTGCGGTTTGTTTGTTTGTTTGTTTGCAATTCTGGAACAATTCTACTCAAATCAGAATATTTGCAATAATTTGAGACTTGCATCAGTGGGGGAAAAAAAACACCAAACAATTCAGATGGACTCTTTTTTATAAGTCCAAATCCAAACAGAATAAATATGTGTATAAACCACCCCAAAGCACCTTCAGATCAAAGCTTGAAGAACTAGGAAGATAAAAAATGAAGTTTGAATAGGTACTAATGTATGAGTGTCTATATATTCATGCATGAATGTAGCATCATATTCCTGGCTTTCATCTGTCAGAAGAATGGCAGGGTCACCACATAAGTATTCAAATCCATGGGTCTAGACAGGTTTCCTTCAAGACTGCTGAAAGACCTGGCCAATGTCACCGAGGGGCTGCTATCTGTCACTTGCAGTGATCAAGAGAGGCCACACAGAACTGAAAAAAGGCCAACTTTATGCACACCTTTAAGAAAGGAAAGAAGGAACACTGAGGGAACTATAAACCAGTTAGACTTACCTCAGGCCCTGGAAGTATTATGGAGCATGTACTCATGGAGTAATTTCCATTCATGTGAAAGAAGAAGATAATAAAAACCAGCATGGATTTACAAAAAGCAAATAACTTCTGACCAGCTGGACTGCCCTCTACCCTTGACTGTATGAGATAACTAGTTATGTAGACAACAGAAAAGCAGTAGATATAATGTACCTTGATTTTAGAGACATTTTTGATACCACGTCCCTCAGCATTCTTGGTTAGCAGGTGAAGATGTACAGATTAGGTGAATGAACCATCAACTGGATTTAAAAGTATCTCAGCAGCCGAGCTCAGAGGGTACTGATCAATTATCTGATTGGAATATTGTAAAAGTTGAGTAGCCTGCTGATTGATACTACGGCCAGTATCATTTCATATCTTCATCAAAGTCCTGAATGATGACATAGCATGTGCTCTCAGCAAAGCTGCAGTCTATGCTAGATTTGGGGCAGCACAGAGGTATTGCTGACACAGCTAATAGCACAGATTTAATGCAGAAGAACCTCAAGAAACCTGAGGATCCTTCCAACAGAAATCTCACACTGTTCAGCAAGGACAAGTGCCAATTCCTGTGCCAAGGACATTGGTACAGACCAGGAACTTCCTGGTTGAGGAGAAGTCCTGCTGGAAAGTACCTGGGAGTGACACTGGATGCCAAGTTCGGTATGAGCCAACAGCTATGCAAACAAGGCAGAGCACCTGTGCTAGGTGGAGGGAGACAGGTTGAAGGACACTGTCACCTTTTCCTTCCAGGCACCAGTGACGATCCACTGGGAAGTCTGTGCTGTTTTGCTGTCTGCACCCAGGCTAACACTTGGAGAAACTGGAAAAGGTCCAGCAGGATGTGTTGAGGATGGTAAGGGCCTAGGACAGATGGCCTACAGGGAGCATTTAAGGGAACTGGGCTTCTTCACTGTGCTGAAGAGGAGGCTGAGAGCAGAACTATAGCAGCCTCCAGCTAACTGAGTGAGAATTGCAAAGACCACTGAATCCAAACTCTTCTCAGTAGCACCAGACAGTAAAGCAAGGAGCAGCAGTGATAAATTGCAGTCTGAGAGACTAGAGTGAGCATGAAGAGAAAGGTTTAGGTTAGAAAGGTAGTGTGTCACTGGAATATGTTTCCCAGTGAGGATATGGAGCTTCTGTTTGGCCTAGATGTCCTCCAGAGGTTCCTGCCACCTCGCAATTTTGAGACTCCTCACCCTGTTAAGCACCTTCTGGCAAGTAAAGCTCAGGTATGGTGCTATAAGACAGACTTAATCTTTGGAGAGGCTTGCACCCTAATTTGTTCATAACCCTTTCTATAGAAGGAATGTGTAATTGTGTCATGGGAGAGTAAGTCCCTGTATAAAACAAGACACACAGAAAGTTATGTGACTTGGCAAGGAAGCTCATGCCAGAACATGGAGAACACTCCAGGTCTCCTGAACCCCCTCAGGACCTTGATCATAAGTATGCTGCTTTGACTCAATTCTGCTAATATGACTCAGTCAGCTGAAATGTGGTCTGAATTAGCAAAAGTCAGCAAAACCAGGATGTTACAAGTCCTAACAGCAGGCAAAAACTTTCTGCCTGTGTGCTGCAGTATTTTTTCTCAAGTGTTTGCTGCATTGCAAGGTAAATTTGTGTTAAGTAGAACATAATAGGCTGCTGTGCTGGGTCAGGCCACATGTCCCCTGAGCTCATCGCCCTGTCTTTAGACATAGCCAGTACCAGTGCTTAGACAAGGCGTGGGGTTTGGGGTGGTCACCTCTTCCCATTCCAGCAGACAGGCAGTGTCTTCCTGCGCCAGTAGCTACATCCAACACACCATGGTTCAGAGTCACCAAAGGACCATCCACCATTAATTATCCAATTTCCATTTGGTGCAGATGTGTATTTTTGCCCTCCCTCCCCCCCGCCTTCCCCCCCCCCAACTTCCGCTATATTCTGTGGCACCTTAAGCACTCTTAATTACCAAATCTGCTTTCTGCCTGGGTAACAAGCCTCTGAAAGTGAAGCTTTATAATCTGTTACAAATCTTCTAGGACCAAGGCAGTGAAAATAGGAGACATGGCAAAAAAATACGGATTTTAGGGTTTCAGTGACTTCATAAGTATCACTCGTAGCAGCTCAGTAGCTTGGGTTAGGTAAGATTCACCAGCTGCTTGTAGTTACTTGTAGGGCAAAAGATTCAATGACCTTCTGTTGTCCCTATATATATATGTATAGATATATATATATTTTAAAATTTGTCCTTGTGCTAAAAATATTTGATCTGGATATATGGGTTTTGTTTTGTTTTTCCTCCTGTGCAGTTAATTTCTGTGAAGCCAGTACTTACACAGTGAACACTTCTGAAGGCATTATGAGAAACCTTACTTTTGAACGGATTATAATGGGTAAATATGGCAACTCCAAAGAAAAATGTGAACCAAATACTGTGAATGGTATGTTTCTTTCATTTCTACTTCCCAAAAGTAAATGTATGGTTTGTGAAAGATGTTGGATTACTAGACCAGATGAGAGGTCAATGTTTGTAGCCAGAACAGCATAGATCAGGCAGTAGGAGCATAAGCCTTTCCACACAGCTTTCTACCTCAAATGCAGAGAACTGAAGGTGTGCATGCCAAGTCATATCCTTGCCTATCTGGGACTGGGCTGAGAGTCAGGTAATGTCTGCTCCTGAACAGCTTTTTGGTAGAAAAATAATCTATTAATATCCTACTATTTAGCATTAGGATTCAGAATGTTTTCCATCAGCTGTGGTTCAATTAACTGTCTCAACTTTCAGAACCTTGCAGAGGAGTAAGTGTTTCCCAGCTGCTCCACTTACCTTTTGTATTTCTTTCATGATGTATAAACTGTGTTTTTCAGGTCATGATAAAAAGTCTTTCTGATAGCTCAGTGCTGGTGACTGTCCCTCCCATTTAAGAGATCTGTTACTGCAGCTCTAGCGTAATCTGATAGCGTATCTGAATTTGGAATTAATGTCACCCACTCTGATAAGATTTTCTATATGAGTATAAAACACATGTTATAAAAAGAATAATATCTAGTTTAATAATTTGTGGTCACTTGTAAAACTGAAAGACAAATATTTTACATGCAAAGAGAAAATAATACTGGGTAGAACATCCCACCTACAGTAGGGTTTTAATTCCCAATGAGGTCATGCACATGAGTGAGTGTTTCTGTACTAAATATATATCTCTCTGTTTTTACAAAACTATAGGTAACATTTCAATAGCAATCCGAATGTGCTCCAGAGAAGGGGAAACTCCTACTTTAGAGTCCCCCAAAATTCTGAATTGCGATTACAATTTTGACTCCTTAGCATCACAGGTAATCTTAAGCTACTGTTTAAACAGTGTATAAGATTCTGCATCATCCCAAGAAAAATAAATGTGATAGGAAATTGAGGCAGGAAATATCTATGTGTTACATTTCTTAAAACTTTGCAGAAAGAAAAATGAAGGACCAAAGACTTTTTTCAGTGGCATTCTTGGCATGTGCCTGCTTGCACATGTCCTGAATTTCCAAAGGTGATTACTTGATCTTGCTTGCCTGAACACAGCATCCCATTTCATACTTCGTAACTGGCCTGCAACTCCATCAGTCAGGTTCTCAGTTGCCAGCAAACAGCTCTGAAAGGAGACGATGCTGATCTAGGATACCAAATTGGTGAGAAACTGGAAGCCTTTGGGTAAGAATAGCTTGAAAGAATGAAGTGATGCAGTCACTGACCTGTTAAGAAAGACGAAGAGCAAAGCCTTTCTGTTCAGTCCTGTGATGAGCTGAAACAGACAGAACACTTCTGTCCCTCAAGAATTCAAAATCAAACTCTCTTTTATGACTGACAAACTATACTCCATTAAATCCTCAGTTTTGCTTTAAGACTTAGCTCTGCCATATCTAGAAAGCATGGAGAGCTGAACGTGACTAAGCACATTACAGACAGTCACTGCTTCTCACCTCCGGCTTCTCCGCTTCATTTCCTTTACCATTTAATTTCATTTACCAGTCCCACTGGGGGAGGGCGGAAGAAAAAAAAAAAAGAAAAAAAAAAGAAAAAAAGAAACGAGTGACAGTCCCTTTAATTAAGAGAAGTCCCTTTTATCATGCACGTTTGCTTTACTATTGTGTCTTCAACCCAACAACTCGCATGCCTGGATCCTTTGATGGGAAACCCTTGAGCTCAATATTATATTTTCCCAGTACATAGCCTGCACTAAATGGTTCAAATGCAAAATCTTCTCTGAAGTAATATAGAGTACTAGTAGTACTTATTTCCAATGCCAATAAGAAACAATGTAATGTAGCAACAGAAGTCTATTCTGATACCTTAGTAGTAGTTTGGAGTTTTTTTATGAGTCGTGATGTCATGGTGCCAGAAAAAAAAAAGAAAAAAAGAAACGAGTGACAGTCCCTTTAATTAAGAGAAGTCCCTTTTATCATGCACGTTTGCTTTACTATTGTGTCTTCAACCCAACAACTCGCATGCCTGGATCCTTTGATGGGAAACCCTTGAGCTCAATATTATATTTTCCCAGTACATAGCCTGCACTAAATGGTTCAAATGCAAAATCTTCTCTGAAGTAATATAGAGTACTAGTAGTACTTATTTCCAATGCCAATAAGAAACAATGTAATGTAGCAACAGAAGTCTATTCTGATACCTTAGTAGTAGTTTGGAGTTTTTTTATGAGTCGTGATGTCATGGTGCCACCTAGTGTGACCAGGGATGCTTGGGGTGTGATGGTGACTGCTAGAAGATGGGTGGAGACAGTCTTCATGCTAGTGGTCCAGAGTCCAGCATTAAAAGGATTTTATACCTTCGAATACAAGGTCATGATAAAAGTCAGAAGTCTAGATGGTCTTTAATGTCCCTTCCAACCCAAACTATTCTATGTTTCTATATAATAGTGAAAATAGGCATTCACAAGGTACTATTTGTTCATAGTGCATATGCAGATGATTTCAAATAAAATATTATAATGTCCAGTAATTATAAATGTAAATTTCCTTCCTCCTTGTGAAATGCATTCACCTTCCTTTCTACCATTCCAAGCTTAATAAACACTTCAAAGCTGCATGATTGAATTCATTTTGATTTTGATGATTCCCAACATGAATAATTTGAGAACAATTCAGTTACCAAAGCTATTCATTTAAGCTGTTCATTCCCTGGATTAGAAATGGAGTGACTTGATACACTGTTTAGTTGGTCTTCATAGCCTATGAAAAAGATTCTTCTGATCTGCAGATTTTCTGTCTCTGAGTCTTATTGTTACCTAGTTATACCTTCATATAACATACAGCTAATGCCTCATCAGTTTTTTGTGTCTAGACTCTTAAGATACTAATAGACATTTACACTCTACCCATTAAGTGCTAACTGACTCAAACTGGACCCAACCACTGGTTCTCACAAGTCTTATTGGTATCTCCAGCACCAGAATATTTTATTTGTTGTGGGTTGGGTTTTTTGTTTGTTTGTTTGTTTGTTTGTTTGTTTTCTACATTTATTCCAAGCTGGCACTATATACAATGCACTGAAGTGAGGATAACATTCTTGGTGCAGGTTATGAGCACTGTGTTGAGAAGCACAACTATTCCAGATGACATTTCTCAAGTTCCTCTCGTGGCTTTTCCAAAAATTCCATTGTGGTTATTTAAGGAACAATTAAAGATGTGCAGTAATTTATAGACTCAGAAGCTCAAGGACCTCAAGGCAAAAGGGGAGGTCCTGCTGCTCTCTACAGCTATCTCATGGCAAGGTGTGGAGAATGATGGGGTCAGGCTCTTCTTCAAGGTGTGCAGTTTTAGGATGAGCATCAACAGAGACAAGTGGCAACATGGGAAATAACAGTTAAGATTCTTTCCCTTGATGCTGGTCAAACACTAGCAGATTTCTGAGGGAGGTTGTGAATATTCAAAGTGAGCCTCTGAGTAGCCAAGTCTCTGCTGAACTAATGGGACCTGCAGAGCTTCCTTTCAACCCAAGCTGCTCCGTGAGGTCATGAAATTATCCCCTTCAGAAAATCTGCATACATTGTGTACTTGATATGAACACAAACAATTTAGACCACCAATTCCTTGTATATTTTGATTTTATGTGAGGATGTTATAAAAGTGGGAACTCTTTTTCCTTTTCTCATTTTCTTTCTGTTCCATGGTGTTTTCCTAACAGGTTGAAATGGAGTCCAGCAATGTTCCAGCCATCGCAAATAACGTGCAAATCCTCACCTCCATGCCAGAACAACTGACCTCACAGAACATCTCTGATGCTGCGAGCATTGCAGTGCAGATTCTGAAAAAGCCAAATGTTTCAGAAGATTCTAAGGTGAGACTTATTAAGACTAAAATAAGACTTTTGTGGATTAATATTTGGGATATCAATTCTGTCACCCCTCTACCAGCAGAAGGAACACTCTTTTCCCTCTCAACTGAACTTAACACTACCAAATGCATTTATTTTGCCATTTATCACAGTTATTCAAGTGGCCTTGAGTGCATACTTGTGGAATCACTGCTGGGTCAGTTCTCAGAGTTGAGTGTTATTTTTACTCCTTATCAGCTGCATGTATCTGAAATTCTAATACAAGCAAAATTTAATGTTTAAATTAATAATTTAATTCTTACTGTCTAGATTAATAAAACTGTAGCATTTATGAAACCATTCAGGATCCTGTGTGGAAGGAACAGAATACCCAGCAGGACCAGAACCCTGGACTTCCACAGGGCAAACTTTGGCCTCCTCAATCAACTGTTAAGGGAAATCCCATGGGACAGGGTGCTAGAAGGTAAAGGGGCTGAAGATAGCTGGTCAACATTCAAGGACCCCTTCTTGCAAGCACAGGATCAGAGTGTCCCAATGGTTAGGAAATCTAGTAAGGGAGTGCATGGTTAAAAAAGGAACTGCTGGGCAAACTTAAGTGGAAAAGGAAAATCTACAGATCATGGAAGGAGGGGCTGGTCACTTGGGAGGAATATAGGACTGTTGTCAGAGGATGTAGGGAGGCAATTAGGAAAGCTAAGGCCTCCTTGGAACTTAACCTTGCAAGTCAGGTTAAGGATAATAGAAAGGGCTTTTTCAAATACATAGCTAGCAAAACTAGCACTAGAGGCAATATTGGCCCACTGAGGAATGAGGTGGGAGCCCTGGTGACAGAGGATATAAAGAAGGCAGAGGTGCTGAATGCCTTCTTTGCCTCTGTCTTCACTCCTGCAGGGTCTCCCTATGAGCCCCAGATTCATATAGCCCCAGAAGAAGTCAAGATAGAGGAAGAGTTTGACATGGTAGATGAAGATTGGGTTAGGGATCAGTTGAGTAATCTGGACATCCATAAATCAATGGGTCCAGATGGAATGCACCCAAGGGTGCTGAGGGAGCTGGCGGAGGTCATTGCTAGGCCACTCTCCATCATCTTCAGTAAGTCATGGGCAACAGGTGAGGTGCCTGAGGACTGGAGGATAGCAAATGTCACTCCAGTCTACAAGAAGGGCAAGAAGGAGGACCCGGGTAACTATAGACCGGTCAGCCTCACCTCCATCCCTGGAAAGGTGATGGAACAACTTGTTCTTGGCACTATCTCCAGGCACATCAAGGACATGGGGGTCATCAAGAGCAGTCAACATGGTTTTATCAAGGGTAAATCATGTTTGACTAACCTCATAGCCTTCTATGAGGAAATTACTAGGTGGATAGATGATGGTAGAGCGGTAGATGTGGTTTATCTTGATTTCAGTAAAGCATTTGACACCGTCTCCCACAGCATCCTTGTAGAAAAGTTGATCAGGTATGGGTTTGGTGATCAGGAAGTGAGGTGGATTAGGAACTGGTTGAAAGGAAGGAGTCAGAGAGTTGTAGTCAATGGGGCAGAATCTGGTTGGAGGTGTGTGACTAGTGGAGTCCCACAGGGGTCGGTACTGGGACCGGTGTTGTTCAACATCTTCATCAACGACCTGGATGAGGGTATAGAATGTACCCTCAGCAAGTTTGCTGATGACACTAAGCTGGGAGGAGTGGCTGACACACCAGAAGGCTGTGCTGCCATTCAGAGAGACTTAGATAGGTTGGAGAGTTGGGCGGGGAGAAACATGATGAAATTCAACAAGGGGAAGTGCAGAGTTTTACATTTGGGGAAGAACAACACCATGTCCCAGTACAGGTTGGGGGCTGAACTGCTGGAGAGTAGTGTAGGTGAAAGAGACCTGGGGGTCCTGGTAGACAGGAGGATGACCATGAGCCAGCAATGTGCCCTTGTGGCCAAGAAGGCCAATGGCATCCTGGGGTGCATTAGAAAGGGTGTGGTTAGTAGGTCAAGAGAGGTTCTCCTCCCCCTCTATTCTGCATTGGTGAGGCCACATCTGGAGTATTGTGTCCAGTTCTGGGCCCCTCAGTTCAAAAAGGACAGGGAACTGCTCGAAAGAGTCCAGCGCAGAGCTACGAAGATGATTAGGGGAGTGGAACATCTCCCTTATGAGGAAAGGCTGAGGGAGCTGGGTCTCTTTAGCTTGGAGAAAAGGAGACTGAGGGGTGACCTCATCAATGTTTACAAATATGTAAGGGGTGAGTGTCAGGGGGACGGAGTTAGGCTTTTCTCAGTGATGACCAGTGATAGGACAAGGGGTAATGGGTGTAAATTGGAGCATAGGAAGTTCAAGGTGAATATCCGAAAAAATTTTTTTACTGTGAGAGTGACAGAGCACTGGAACAGGCTGCCCAGGGAGGTTGTGGAGTCTCCTTCACTGGAGACATTCAAAACCCGCCTGGACACGTTCCTGTGTGATGTGCAGGTGACCCTGCTCTGGCAGGGTGGGTTGGACTAGATGATCTTTTGAGGTCCCTTCCAACCCCTAGGATTCTATGATTCTATGATTCTATTGGAACAAAGCTTGTGTTCTCACAAATGGCATCCTCTGCTTGTTTGTTCTTTTGTGTGTACTTATTGTGTTCTTATTTTGCCCATCCACTAGGTAGCACACAGGGTGATTTACTACAATTGCATTTGAATATTGCCTTTTTTTTCTGTTTGTCTCAGGCATCTGTGGCAGTAATGGCTACCTTGAGTCAACTCTTGGATGCCAATGAAACAGAATTTAAGCATGGTGATTTTGTCCATGTTGCAAAAAGGTAACTAACTTTTACCATTTATATTTATTTTAGATGTAGTAAACTGCATTTTCCCTCCTGTTTCAGGATCAAAGTGGTTCAGAGATGACGGAAAATATTTTTACTGTTCAATTTCAATATGCATCTTCATTGATTCAGTAGATTTATACCAACATAAAAACAATTTGGCTACATTTTTCTGCTTTGTAAAAAAAGGATGAGGGTAGAGAATGAGAAGCAGTTCCCACTGTAGAACTAAATGAGAGAGGAAACACAGAAACTGAACCTGTATCTGTGGATTAAAAAAGAATGGTAACTTTTATCCCATTTGTTATTTCACTGCAGCCTCACAAAAACTATGGAAGAATTTTCTTTGACTAGTAACATCTCACAGCCCAATGTTGCAGTCCAGTCTGCTCCACTGAAATTAAGCTCCTCTACGATTCTGTTTTCAGCACAGAGAGGTAAGTTTGTGTGTGTTGTTAGATTTACCTAGAACAGGAAGTATGTACCAAAAATCGTAATGCATCCACTGCTAATTTTTGCAGATACAGCACTGGGATATTATCCGTCAACAAAACTAGAAATACAGGAAAATGTCCATGGGCTTCTTAATGACCTCAGAACTGAAGTTCAGATACTGTTCAACATTACAAGTAACAGTTACTTCTTTTTCCTACTGAGAACTGAAGCTGCTACTGGGAAAAATTTGAATGATTATTCACAAAAAATCTCCTTTGGGGAAAAAAAAACACAAAAAACACACCATACTTAGCCAATATAAGTTTTTACATGTTGTTTTTGTGCATGCTGATGCCATATGGTGGTACAAGAAATGCACATGTCCAATGAGATGGATCATGTTATTTAAGATTAATGCATGTGTACATGCAATGTCCAGAATGCTTTTGGTGTTTGGGACTTGGTAATTTATTTTGTTTTCTAAAATTGAGAAGGTAAAGAATCTTGCACTGTGCTTCTGCAGACATCAAGAGCTAGTGCATATGTACCTTGCTTGAAAACGAAAGACATCAACCCTTTCAACTAAAATTATTACTGCTGTCAAAAAGTAGTTTAAAAAAATCTAAATAAATACCTAAACAAAAATCTGCTATAAATATTGGATATGTGAAATAGCATAGTGTATGATTCCTCATTGGCACCAACTTCTCTGATCTCTGCTCTCCATACCTACTTTTCTGTTTACCATTTCAAGGTTCATCATACAATGGAAGAGTTGGCTTTGTGCTGTATCAAAATGACAAACTCTTCCAGTCAAGGATTTATCAGAGCCGCAGTAGCTACTCTAAACAAATTGTCTCTGGCAATATTAATGGTGGAAATACCAGCAGTATTGAAATAGCCTTCAGTCCCAAGGTAAGTGTTCAGTTCGAAACTGGTAGGTGTCTTCCCACCTGTCTTCAGGACTTAGGAAGGAGACTCAAGCAGAGGAGTTGCATTTTTAGATATATATTTTTATTTTCATACTGCCTTGATTTCTGGCAAAAAGCAGAGGTTGTTGGGATGTATAGGTGATATAAGTGAACAGCATTTAGGTAACACGGCATAGAAAATTTTTTTCAACTTTTGTATTTAACAGCTGATGAGATTTAATACTGTAAAATACAGTACTGACTCAGTACTGCTAAACTAGGGCATTTGCATGCAAAAGTTTCTTCCATAAAAAGTTATACCAAAATGGATTTGCCCTAAGGTAAAGCAGTTCTAAATAAAAATTGCAAAAAACAAGGCCACTGGAGGATAATTTTTATTTCCAGAAAGCTATCAAAATTTGTGAAAACAAAAAAGGTCAACATGACTGGCATAGGTCAATGGACCTACCAGTGTGGGGAGTGTCCATTTTTAATGCTATCTTTTAACTCTTGCTTCCAGTTAAATTCATTGTGTATTTTGTTTTGACTTCCTCTGCCAGAAACTGATTCTAGATGTTACTGCTTTCTTGCAGGAAATGCTCTATGTGAGTGCCCATTTGCCCAAGTAACTGGATTCTTAGATAGTATGTAAATCATGCTTAGCATGGTTTCTCCAGAATACAGTAGATAGCTTCTTCTTACAATATTCAACAACAGTTTTAAGCTCAAATACATGCATATGATAGATCAGTAATCATTATAATGGTTCCATACACTTAAGCTACCTGGGAAACACGTGTCATTTTTAAGGAAATAACTGAAACATAATTGATTTTTTTACTCCTACTTTTATTCCTCATTTTTAATTTAACTACCTACTACTGTGAATAGTTTCTTTCAGTACTTATTTGCACTTCAAGATGCTCATTGCACATTAAAAAGCAGTTCTAATGGCAGTACCCTGCAAAAGTATGCTTTTTGAAAACAACTGCATGCAGTTTGACATCTGACCGTGTGAATATCATCATGCTGCAGAAGGGAGGGAATAGTTCATGACTTTTCTCATTGTTTATTTCCTATCACAGTGTGGATTCAGCCCTGGTGGGCAGTAATTTAATGCTACTAATATCTGGAAATTACTGTTTGGCTTATGCAGAATTCATTTGGCAATTGTTTAATGCCTATTCAATGTGCATCTGAACCATAATTACCTGAATAATTCACAGGAATGGCTAATTTCTTTGGCAATGTTGACCGAGAAGGGCACACGAAGAAAGTTCAAATTATGCTGTTATTGACATCAGTCATAAGGGTTACTGGAAACACCATAAATCCTTTAGTACCTGTCAGCTCCCCTTTCAGAGCGTAATTGTCAGTACACACTGTTTCTGGTGCGTATCTGTTCACATTTCTATAGCTACTTTTTCTCCTTGCAATCCCAACCCATAGTACAACACGTCCGAACTGCAGCTGCATGATCATGCCTGTGTGTTTTGGGACTACACGATCAATGACTGGAGCACTGCAGGCTGTGCAAAAAGAAGAGACCAGTTCCTGAGATGCAGGTGTAATCACACTACTAATTTTGCCATCCTGATGGTAGGGCATCATCCTTTCTTCAATGGGAAAAGTTTGGGTTTTTTTTTTAACTTGTTTGGTTGTTTACAATTGGAAGACCAGCATGCCAATGTGAGGGTGTAGGAGCACTGAGCAAGCAGGCAGAGTTTTATATAGCCCCACACACCTGGTTTTGATCTGCGGCAGAGCTGGCAAATTGGGACATGCCAGCTGCCTCCAGACTGCTGGAAAGCCAAAAGGTACTTTTGGTGAGTCCTGCCTTTCCTTGACACAAATTGTGGCTGTGTCCACCTACTGTTCACCCGAGCAGCAAGGGAGGGCTGGCACAATTCATTCCCCTTGCTCAGCTGTGGTAGCCTCCAGCTCTGCAGCTCTGTTGCTGCAGCTGGTTGTTAAATGAGTCTACCTCTAAAGCCTAAAGTGCCCAAAGACAAACAGTAGAATAACTCAGAATAAGCTAGATGTGGCACTGCCTAGGCTGAGTATTTTGCATCAACTACTTCCTTTAGTTACACGTTTATAAAAAGCAATCACTCTGTACATATTAACCCTGCTACCATTAAGTTTTATATATTGTCCTTTTGTACTAACAAGATTATTTAAGAATGACTGTCTGTCTCTGACATTTGTTATTCTTTCAATATTGGTTTCAGCTTCTCTAAACAAAACACTCCCTGAGTAAAATCACATATCTGTGGTCACTGACTTCAGCAGTGCCAGAAACCCAGAGGTTCTTTTTACTCTGTCTTCACGGAACAGCATTTCCATATTTGTAATTTGTATTGTTTCTGTATTTCCCTGTGTCTTATACATGTCCTTATTGCACAAAATAATTATATTCTAGAGAAGATTTCCATTTGTTTATGCAAAGACAACAGAATTTTTCTGTTTCACTGAATATGCTTACATTTGCTTGCTGCTTTTTTGTCCCTACAAAGAAAGACTGGTTTTCATTTGTAAATCTTAATCACTTTTTACCTTTGACCTTATCCTCAGAAGCCAAAATTCAGAATGCACATCAGTATGAAAAGTTAAAGCCACTTTTTCCAGTCTGTGTCACCTTGCATTTTTCCATTAATATTAGCTTGATCTCTTATTGGAGATCTTCACAAGCTTCTTGAGTTTTGAGGTCCAGAATACTTTTATGTGATCTGAAAATTTTGGCAGTGGCTAGCAATAGTCACAACTTTACTGAAATATTTCTGGTTCTATGTGCAACTAGAAACATTAAATATTTGAAAGAGATGCATGTCTTCTCATAACTGATACAGATTTATTTTCTAGGCCTTCCAGATCAAATATAAATATGCAAAGCCTTTGGAATATATTTCTTACATTGGTGTTGGATTGTCTGTGGCTGGTCTGGTCATTACAATTCTGTTTCAAATATTCACTAGGTAAGAGTGAAGATGTAAAGATACAAGTGTTTTACACCAAGTTACAGTATTTTTCTCTGTATATAGTTTGAGAAAAATTAAGAGAGCAGCCATTTTAGAACACACTGCAATATTATTCATCAGCAAATAATATACATAACAAAAAAGAGCTAATCATGTAGCACAGGTTGGGAAATAAGTGTGGCTTACAGGTTAAAGTGAAGACAAAGAGATGTCTCAGCCATGCCACTGACCTAGGTGAAACTTAAATGTTTCTGTTCATGCTAATCTTCTAAGGTGAGGATATATATATGAGATTATTACTCAATCAGCCCACCTTTGTAATTGTGAGCTTTGTAAAGAAATGATATAACAGAGTATGGAAGAGCCCAGTATGGTAAAAGGCCAAATCTTTTATAGGAAACACTGAACATGGCCTCTGAGAAGAAAAATCTTTCCATCTCTTTGACAGTGCAGCTCTCCAGCTATAAGGTTATTCAGGCAGCATGTCCTGCTGAGGATCAAGTCAAGGGTTGATCCTTTTACCATGGGCTCCCATTGCCATGTCTAATCTCCAGGTAATGTCCCATTTGTGACATTTGTCCCATCTACATGGGCCACAGGCAGTCTGTAATTTCTGTTGTATTTCATGTCCCCCGCTGCCTTGCTGACATCTCTGTTACTACCCTGGCCAGGCACCTGACAACACAGATCTAGTGCTGTATTATTGCTATACTGGTTCAGGTTACATGTTGAGGTGTTTAGTCCTTTACTCTCACTTACTACTAGACTTTAAAAATGTGTAACACTATTCCACCATCAGCATGACCTCTTTATTTTCCTGAATGCCCTCTAACCTGATATTACAATGTTTAATCACTTATCTTTCTACTACTCAGTTACCAATATGCCTATTATCTTCTTGTCTTGATTTATGGCTAGACATTTCAACCCACTGTCTTATCGCTTAGACTTTTACATTTCCATAGAAGCAAATATGTTTTTTCTCAGATTCTCCTCTTGCTATCCTATTTAAATGTTACTCTTTTTTCTGTTGTCTATTTGATAGTTTCTATACTCTCTTGCCTTCTGCTTGTAAAATGCCTGTAAAGAACAGATGATTTCAAAGCACCATGATTATACAACAATGTAGATTATGTGCACTGCTTGTGCCAGAGTTTTATTATGAGTGACTTAATTCAAACACAATTGCAGCAAACTTCCTTGATGGATGTGCCCATGATTAATGGTGTCACATGACTTCACCTTGAATAAGGAGCAAAGTCATGCCAGTAGAATTGTAGTTATCATAGATGAAAGTTTCTCATCCTCCTTGTGCTAATGCAGACTTGGAGTAATTCCATCAAGATCAATGTATTTAAAATTGTAGGAGCTTCCAGACTCTGCCTTTTAAATGCATTTATAAGACAGAGTTTGGAAGCAGAGGTTTATTATTCTCTTGTACCTTGAACAGTATTTAGAAGTTCTTGTTTTATGCTATTTCACCCCTTAATACTGAAGAAAACAATTTAAGAAGAACAGAGTGGGAAAAAGAATGCACATCCCAACTGCTGCTGGAAAAAGCCCAGTCCTAGAAGATGCTGAGTATTCTCTGTTCTAGTTGAAATCAGACAAAACTGATGAATTTGTTAAATTGCCCAAGAGCAGTGGCAGTGTAGAATTCTGCAAACAAGTTATCATTTTGTTTTCTCAATGTATTAGACTGCACTCACCAGATTGCTTTTAATATCATGGAAACGAGGACATATTTTACAATTTTTTCTTATTTTGCTCTACCTGTTTCTCCTAAATGTATTCCTACCAATAGGAAAACTCGAAAGTCATCTGTAACATGGATGTTAGTGAGTCTCTGCTTCTCTATGCTCACTTTTAACATCATCTTCATCTCTGGAATTGAAAACCAAAATGCCAGGAACCACAGCAGAGATACCACCAGTTACCACCAGCAACACCTTCCTTATGATACTGCCAATAACACTTTACTAACATCTGAGATCGTAGATCCTCCTGCAGACTCCTGGTGCACAGCTGTGGCTGTCCTACTGCACTATTTTTTGTTGGCAACATTTATGTGGACAGCAATCAATTCTGCACAGTTGTACTTACTTCTCCTTAGAGCCATGAAGCCCCTACCTGGACACTTCCTCATATTCATGTCAGTAATCGGATGGGGTAAGATTTAAAGTTGTATATATGTCAACTTTTACCAAAGTATCAGTACATAGTACATTCAGGAAGAGTTGTAAAGATAGGAGACCAGTAGAGAGCAATTATAAATCAGTGTCTTTCAAGTTTAGTGCAATGTGATTTAACAAATAATCTCCTGTTCCTGCTCACGGGACTGGTATAAACCAAGCTTGTTTTTGTTGTCCTGATCTGGCACTGAAGCTGACAGCTGGTTCACTGGCACAGCAAAATTAGGTCTGTTGTCTGCAGAAGAAATTTTTACAGTAATCAAGGCAGTCTGTCAACTAAGCAAAAAATCTTTCAGACACAGTGATTGCATATATGGACTCAAATTCTTCACTGAGACATCTCTGACATTCCTCAAGACCTCAGCCAGAGTTTTGCATACATCCACAACCAAGGAATAACTGATATTGTTACAAATGATTTATTAATAAGCAAAGAGCATATTTTTCAGTCATTACAGCAGTTAGCAGCTACAGTGCAAGCTGAAAGGGAACTACTTGGAGTACTGAAGAGTGCAAAAAGATGCCCCCCTAGCCTCCTTCCAGAAACACTTCTATGATGATGTGCAGGAATACCTACCTTTTCCATGTTGTGTATTCAGCTTGTGTGGTGTGTTGTTTCTGATGGCACTTATCAAGCCATTTTAGATCCCAATTGTTTCATTATTGTTTTGTATTTGGGTGGAGGTAGAGGCAATTCCTCTAAAACCTTTAGAACTTGGACTGCATGTCCAAGCCAGAAAATGTTTAGCAAAATCTGGCTGGCTACTGTGTGTATGATGTACATGATAGCGCAGCATCAGGCTCTTCACTGTGTCCTCTGACTAGTTACACATGTTCACTGCTTTTCAGATCTACTTTGAGAGCACAGCAAATACTCAGCATGCTGGAAGGTCTCTATTAGGGCTGAAGGAGGAAGAGACTTTCAGAAGTATGTGTATTTCCTAGATAAAAACTTGTGCAGGAGGCTTCTTCTCATGAGACCTGCTGCTAAGCAAATAGGTAGGCAGGAGACATGGAAGAACAGGAAGCAAAGCAAAGGCATGGAGGCAGCAAGCCCACACTGCCATGCTTATTGGAGTGCAAAAGTTATGCCCTGCATCAAGCTGGTATGAAATACAACGGTGCTTGGTGCAAAACATTCTTAAATTAATTTCTCACTGCTGACAAGAGGGTAGGATTGCACAGCTGTGATGAGGCAGTCAGCTACAGTACATAAAGGAAGGAGTTTGCTCTATGAGGGAGTCAGTTACAGCACAGGAAGGAAGGAGTTTGCTCTGTCTCTACTGGTGCTGTGTCCAGAAGCTGTGTTGAAGCTCTGTAAAGGCAAAAATCAGCAAGATGTGGACATGAGCAGTCCTCTAGAAAAATAGTGCTCAAACCCCTCAGTCCTGCCTTTTCTATAAGCTATAGAAAACCCACCTAGCTTAGTGCAAGGCAGATGATATACAGAGCTCATAAAATCTGTGGACTTTAGAAGGCAAGAAAGTATTTATGTGGAAAGGAGGTATGCCTATGCAACTGAAAAATAAATTGCTAATGTCTCTCCTATTAATTAGGAATCCCTGCTGTAGTAGTTGCAGTAACACTTGGAGCTACTTACAGAGAAGGAAAAGCTTTAAACTACCGACAGGAAGAATTGTAAGTTCATGTATTATCACATCACTTGCTTTCCCACACCTTTTGTGATGGCTTATTTTTAATGCAATTCTAGATTTATTGTTGGCATATTATTTTGTATATATAAATACTTAAAAGAAAACTCATCACTCAAGCTAAATGTTCACTATAGGGAACTGCAGTTCTCCTCACTAAGGATTTAGGGTACTGGATCCACATTTGCCACAGATCCTGCTGCAACATCCCCTGTGACTTGAAATGGAAGCTGTAGACTCTCTTAGCTCTTAGAACCTTTGAAATTCAAGACCTTCATTTAAGTGCATAACCTCATTGCAGTGCCTAAACTTAATCCTCCCATTTAGTGAAAATCTTTCTTTCCAGCATAACCATATCCCTATTTACCCTGAGGTTTTGGTATCCGGACTCATTTGAGTGCCCACATACCAAAGCAGGCTCTCAGGCTTACAATGTATCTTGGTGATAGTGGATGTTACAGAAAATAGGTAGACTTCATATGGAAATGTAAACACAACCATGCTTCCACATCATGGCAGTCTTATGATACTCATTTAGGGGGTGTTGATTATTAACTGGAGATTCTTCGGCAATGAGAAAAAAAAAAGAGGTAAAGATTATTGCAGGATAAACCTGTCCTCCTGAAGTTGACCCAGTTTTAGTTTCAATTTTTGTCCATTACGTTTCCTCTATTATTCCTCAACTCTATTAAACTAGATGCTCCAAAGATAAACTTGGTTATGGTGACCAGATGGCTATTTGGTTAGCTATAGTGCACCTTATAATATTTATCTGTGCAGTTTGTTTGAGAAATCATTTTGCATTCCCGAGAGAAAAAGAAGCATAATTGGAAGCCCTAATTTCTTTAGGGATGGTTGCCATTTGGAGAGAGGTTAACAAGACCTAAAAAGCCCTATGAGGTCTTTGTTGGATTAAAAGTGGAATATTATTTTGTTTTCTTTTGGTATTCTGAATAATGTGTCTAACAAATCTTTTGAAATTGCCTCTTTTTATATTAAAAGTTGCTGGCTTGCAGCACTGGATCATAATCGGAATTTCAGTGTACAAAAGCCCATGCTGTGGTCATTCCTCTTGCCAGTGGCACTTGTACTCCTGTTTAACATCATCATCTTCATCAAGATCTGTGTCTCTGTGATATGGAAGAATAATAAGGATTTGACAAGGTGAGATGGCATGGGACTCTTCAGGTCTTTCAGCAAACATATTCCTTGGTCTCTTGACATGAGCTCAGACTTTCTTGTCACACACACAGATTTTTGACAAAATCTTTTTTATTTATTATTTTTTTAAAAAGAAATATATACTTAAAGCAGCCAGAAAAAAATTCCTTTGGTGCAATGGCTCAGACTTTGTTCAACTGTATACACATTTCAGGCTTTCTCTCCCTTTTTTTTGACTGCAGTGTCACTCAGCTTAACTTCAATGAAAGTTATCGCAAATTTAATCCATATAAGTGAGAGCAGAGATGGATCCAGCCAAATGTGAATTATTAGTTTCTCAGCACATCTGAATGTCAGACCAGTTCTCTAGCAGCTTTGAAGCAGACTTACTTGCTCAGTTTTGCATCAAACCTTCACCTATCTTCAGTGTCTGTGTGTCACAGACTTTGCATTGTACATTGTATTATTTTAAAGGGAATTGCTTTAAATTTTACTAATCCCACAGAATGGGTATGTTCCACTAAACTATTTCATCACTCCTTTTCCGTACAATTTTCATGGCTGGAGCAAACAAAATACCTCATCTTTGACTCCCCTCAGTCTTGAGAGAACTGGAGTTCTTGGACTTTCAGACTTCACTGGCAGCTTATTCTTACATTGAAAATTAAGCATATTTGGATTGAAGTTACAAGCATTCTGAAAAGCTTATAATAGCTAACATGCCAATTATCAATGATTCTTGTTGCCTTTTTTTGTTGAAGACAGATACAGCCAAACTACATGCTCCAAACACAGATTATTCTGATAGACTTGGTTAGATTTCTTTTTCTGAGTTTCATCTCTGGATCATATGTCAAACAAATGTAGGGAGGTGTATGTTCTTAACTTACCTGAATAACACATCTTTGCAATATAGCTCTGAATAAACAGAAAGTTTAAAGCTCAAGAAGATAGTAAATGGTACAGAGAAAGATTTAATAACCTTTTTATGTGTGTGTTTCTAGGAATAAGAAGGATTCATTTATGAAAAAGATGATTGGCACTATCTCTATAGTGGTCGTACTTGGAATCACCTGGGTGGTAGGCTACCTCATGTTAATAAGTCATGAAGAAACAAGTGTTGCTTTCAGTTATATGTTCTGCATTTTGAATACTACTCAGGTAAAGTATTTAGCAATTCTGAGACTAATAATTGAGATAATTAAATAAAACAAATGTAGGATTTACTCTATAGGTCGGTAAATCCTGGGAACTTGTTGGAAAGCAGTTACAGGGATTCTGAATTTTTTTGGTGGATGCTATCCATTTGGTCTGTCACTCAAAACTCTTCCCATTGTGCAAATCAATGTGGGCTTTCAAGGTCACCCCTGGAAAGACTTTCCTGTCTGAGTGGCTTCTCCTATACCAAATAATATAAAAAATTATATTCAGAATGAATATGAGGAAAAAATCTTCTGCATCCGCCGTTGGAAAAAGTCCCAGGGGAGTAACTGAGGCTTCATGACTTGAGAGCTGTCACAATGATTCTGGATAAAAGCTGATAGGAAAGCACCTGCCTCTATTTTCCCCACAGCCTTGCTAGATTCTTGGCTTTACTGAAAGACCAGTACAAGGTTTCCCCAGAGCCGTCTCCTCTCCAGGCTGAACAACCCCAACTTTATCAGCCTGTCTTCATACGAGAGGTGCTCCAGCCCTCTAATCATTTTTGTGGCCCTCCTCTGAACTTTCTCCATGAGCTCCATGTCCACCTCATGTTGGGTGCCCCAGAACTGGACACAATACTCCATGCTGGGTCTCAAGAGAGCAGAGGGGGAGAATCACCTCCCTTGACCTACTGGCCACGCTGCTTTTGATGCAGCCTAGGACACGGTTGGCTTTCTGGGCTGCAAGTGCACACTGCTGGCTTTTGTTGAGCTTCTCATCAACCAACACCCCCAAGTCCTTCTCCTTGGGGCTGTTCCCAACCTATTCTCCACCCAACCTGCATTTGTGCTTGGGATTGCCCAAATCCAGGTGCAGGACCTTGTACTTGGCCTTACTGAATTTCATGAGGTTTGCATGGACCCATCTCTCAAGCTTGTCAAGGACCCTCTGGATGGCCTCCCCTTCCCTCCAGTGTGTCAGTCACACCACACAGCTTGGTGTTGTCAGCAAACTTGCTGGGGGTGCACTTGATCCCTCTGTCCATGTCACTGACAAAGATGTTAAACAGCACTAGACCCAGTACTGACCCTTGAGGAACACCACTCATCACTGGTCTCCATTTGGACATTGAGACATTGATCACTAATTATTATGTATGAAGTATACATATGAAGTATGAAGGAATGGATCCTTTATTATTACACCACTGAATATTTCCTACAAAATAGCTGATTGGAAAGACGTGAAATTCCTCCTATCTCCAAATATTAATTTGTTTACTATCAGTTTGATCTCCTGAAAACTGAGGGCCCATACACCAGTGGGGACCAGATCTGCAAACTATCTGCAAAAAGTCCTGGAATAATTATTACTGATGGATGGATTATACCTGTGCTTTAAACCTGAAATAATGAACAGGGAACAGAGATCCATCTACCTAAAACTCTGAGCATTTGTTTGTTTGTTTGTTTCTTTGTTTTTTGTTGTGTGTTTGTTTTGGTTTTTTTTTAGTTTACCTCAGGATATTACTGATAACTTTTTGAAATAATAAATTAGAAGAGCAGGCATAGAAGTTTCGAAGTTCTGCTTCCCACCATGTGTGTCTGATTGAAGTGCTGATAGGGCACACCAGCCACATTTAATGCTTATGGCATGTTCAAGAAGGTAGTACCTTCACCCTCTCCAGCAGACAGTAATAATACAATTCTGAGACACACTAGCTAACCATTACAATGTGCAAATGAGGTGGTTACAGTGGCAAATCCATAGTGAGATGGAAAAAAAATCATATTGAAAGTACCTTTTGTATTTCAAGATATTAATGTAATTGTTAGTGGTTACTGAAAATTGTTTTGTGGTTGTTCTTAAACTCAAATAATATTGGCTAATTGCCGGTTTAACAGCAAAATAACAACTCTACACTTTCCTTTACTCTACAGGGACTTCAGATTTGTATTCTGTATACTTTCAGATCACCAATCTTCAAGAAAAAAGTTTCCGAAGTGTTTCCTGTTTTCAGGGTGCCAGAGGTACCACTGTATCTGCATTCAAAAACATACTACATTTCAAGAGCACAGCTTGCAAAACATTCACAAGAAACTTTCAGATCAACCCAGACTTTTTCAGATAGCATTTCCTTATCAACCTTCCCTAATGGGAGTTAAGAGCCTGTTCATACATGATATACAATCCTGCATTTTTCACTGTTTGTTGTGTTAGGTCTCACATGTACCACAAACGATGGACATACTGCTCCAACCGCAGGAAGCTTGAAATAAATCTGAAGCCAAGACCACCCAGAGTGAAAAGCAGGATCATATGCTGTCAAGACTGTGCGATTGTTAAGCAGCATTGCAGTAGTAGATCCTCTTGATACTGCCTGTAGTGCATGGCACTCAGGAAAGTCTTTGAAAGGAGCTGAGGTTATTGTAGTTGTATATTACAGTATATGCCCTCCCTATATATGCCCTTCTCATTTTTCAGGCTTGCTGAGTGTGTTTGCTCAGCCTATGCACTATGTTTACCTAGCTCTCCTCTCCCTTTTGTAACAACAATTTCAATTTAGTTAGGAACCAAAAGGTAAATCAACAAACAGCACAGGTCTTGGCTCTGAGTCCAAATTCGATTTACTATTTCTGTAATCCATTGGCTTGGTCTTTGCAGAAAATAATCTGTGTCTTACAATGGGTCTTTTAAATTTCCTAGCTAAAACTTCTTTATTATAAATGATAAAGAAAATATTCTGGTTTCCTATAAGAAAATGAAAAAAAGAAGTTAGATGCTTGGAAAAGCAGGCTAGGAAAGATATTCTTTCTAAATAAGTAACATAGATCCTGTTCACCTTGCTCCCAGCACCAGCCTGTGAAAGGAAGCCTCTTGTGTTTTAGAGGCAGATGGGTGCTACCACCACAGCATCTGGAGTGCTTCAGTTAGCACCTTGCTCTGAACTGACTTTGGGCTGCACCTCTATCTCTGCCTCTCTGCCCTTTGGCTTTATGGGGACATTGGAAGAAGGGTCCCTTGACCCTCTAAACTTAGGTCATAAGTACAAATAAACCCTCCCCCTTCTCTGTCCATCTTTTATTGATATTATTGAGTACCAAAAGTTTGAAAGCAATGTCAAAGGGAGATGGGAGAAGAGTTTCTGGATGTTGAAGTGAGGAGTACGGAAGAGGAGAGTACCATGATGGACGGAAGCCTATAGTGGCCTGGGCACAACTGGTGTGTGAAGTGCAAGTAGCTCTTCCCAGTTGGTGAGTGTGAGCAAAGTGCTAAGGCCCATTGTAGTGGGTTCTTGTCTAATGAACAGCAGTAGTTACACTAACTCATTCCATTCTCTCCTGTGTCAGAAAAAAAGCCTGAGAAGTTCAGATAGGTAATTTAAAAAAAATTGTATTTCTTTATTCTGTCCTCCGGTCAAATATGTTTATCTGTTTTGTCATCTCTGGTCTTAATGAAAGAAGAATATCATGTTGAATTTTAAACAAGCTGGTTTAAAAAGTGTGGTCAGATTTTCATCCTGCCTTTTTTTTTTTTTTTTTGGTTGAAAATGAATGTAGTGTGTTTTGAAAACTTCCAAGCTTCTCCAAGTAAGGTTACGGGCATGACCAGATGTCATGGCTGAACATTTAGTTGTAGCACCTTTGAATAAACTGGGCATCATATATGAGACTTGTTGAATGTCTTCACAGAACTGTCTCAGCTGTCCTGAAAACTTCCTCGTGTCTTAGAAATCCGAGCTGTCTCTATGAAACAGAAAATAAGTATTCTCTAGGACTGATAAGCCGCAAAAAGGAGCGGTCACATCAGACACGAGGCAGAAGTTTATCGCTATTGTTCCAGAACAGGCAGAGGCCATTAAAAGTTACCTAGAAAAGGTAATTTAGATTGATTTTTTTCCCCAGGAATTTTGTCTCTATGAGCAACAATTTTTTATTTCTAAATAAAACATATCATACCTACTTTTGTCGATATCTTCTGTTTCATTGAAGAAAGAGTATTTTAGAAATTATTGTCTGGTTTAGGAATGATGATATTTGATTTTGTTATAAAATACAGCCAGGCACTAAGAGGAAGGCTTCTTAAATGAGTGATATTTTCTAGTCTTCTATATTTTTCCCCACAAACAAAAAAAATCTTTTAAGCATGTCCCAATTAATTTTGAATACAGCTCTTATAAAGGGTGAAAATATATTTTCCATATTATAACAAATAGCAAGAAAAACCCCAAGAACTCAAAGTATTTATTGGAAAAGTGCTGACTTTTTACTAATTAAACTGAACACCCTGTATCTAAGTATTTCAGATGTTAATGAAATGCTGTTATAGCATATGTCACTTAACATAAAACATTTTCAGCATAAACCACCCCATAAAATTAAACATTTTATGGTTTTTTATTATTATTTTTTTCATCCAGGGAATCCTAATTTAAAAAATGGAACAAAGCAAAATTATTTTTTCAGGTTACATGCTTGTTACAGGAACAAGAGTTCAGCTCTTATCTACACGTGGAATATATTGAACTTAATGTAGTGAACTTTGGTATTCTTTGTGATATGTGGCCTTTAAAGATTATGGACTTTCTTCTTGTTGACACTTTGAAAACACTGCTTTAATACAGAAATTATTAATACAACTGAATCATCAGTATAAAGGTATGAAATATGAGTGGCTGAGAATGTAGGGGATGGAGAAGTCCTATTTTCCATATCTCTTTCCTATATTTTTAAAGCTTAGAACTTTTTTTTTTTGATTGAAAATGCCCCAAATATTTATAAATATTTTCTAATACTTATCAAAAAAGCCTCCTGAACCACGCCCCTCCTCCTCGAAACATTCAGAATTAAAAACATGTAACATATTCGGCTTTCTTTCATCTTCATTTCAGTGTAAGTAACAGCTGTTCATTGCCAGCTGCACTTGCTGTGACACTGCTCTAAGCAGACACAGAGCTCTAAGCAAGGACAAATACTGCATGAATCAAACTGCTGTGACTCGCGTTCCAGCAAAAAAAAAAATGCCGTTTGGAAGTCTTGCTTTTCAAGACACCTAGGAAAAAAGGTATCTTTTCAGGGCTACCCCTGAAACTCCAGGAAATAACTCCCCACAACTGTGCTTTAGCCAGTTCTGCACAGGTACCCCTGTGACACGTCCTAGCACGTGCAGCTTCGCTCCCACACGGAGAGAGGCAGCAGAAATCTCAAACAGGCGAAGACAACGGCAGCCCCGGCCCCAGCACCTCCCGGAGAGGACACCACGACCCATCCCTCCTTGCACCCGCGGCAGAGAAACCTGAGGACTCGTGTTTCTCCCTTCGGCGAACACGCTCAGC